GGTGGCAGGTTCAATAAAGAGAATAAATAAAGGTTCAATAAAGAGAACCTGTCACCTACAATACAGGAGTACTCGGCGGCGGAGGGAGGATGGAGCTAGTAAAGTAGACACCGCTTCAAGCTCACTCATATATACTACAATCACATGTTTAGTTTACTAATTTGTATCAAGATTGTTGTCCATCACAGGGGCGAGCTTGGAGTGTTGGCTAGTTTACAACACACACAGGGACCATGGGGAACAAAAGTAGTCAGCCTCCAGAATGAAGGACAATGTCAGCACCAATTCAGAGATGATTTGGGGATCTACAACCAAGTGATACACAAATAAGATACAGTTTTATTCATAGTTAAGGTACTTGACTGTATTTTTAAGATTTAACTCTTGAGTTTAGTGTCACTTTAAGTTTTGTATTTAGTTGTTTGGCTGGAGTTCTGCCTTAAAGCTTTTGCTATGCTGTAGCATGTATGGACATCTTGAACTCTCTAATTAAACCCGCAGGGCAGTTTATTTAGCATTATGTCAGTGTGTCACATGAAATAACCTCCTTTGGCTTGGATACTAGCTAGTACGTCATATCTAGAACCTCTAGCAAAAATAAGTACACCTTATTAAGATGTTCTTCTTGTAGTTTTTTTCCAAATAGGAATAATGATCTTGTGGTTGGCTCCCCCACTACTGGCGTCTGGGAAAGTAAAACCTGCAAAGTAAACATGTCATTTGTTTCGGATATGTAATGTTCCCCCTCCATTTGTGGTCAGGAATCCTGGAGGACTCTCTTTCCCACACACTTTTCACAGCAAAGTGGTTACAGCTACTGTTGTTAACATTCTCTAATTTCATAGCAAAGTGTGAAGTACAAAGTATGTTTTCACATGTTAATCCTATTACAGACACTCTGCCCATTCCCTGAAATGTGAAGAGCAGTATCAGTATAAAAAAAAAAAGAAACAGTTGACGTATTTATAGTGAGATGTACAGGTTAACTCTATCCACATAAAACCCTTATGTAAGCTTTACAGACATAAGCCAAAAAATGCCTCGCTCATTGTAAATCGACTACTTAATACCTTTACATCTGATGCATTATGTACAAAATAGTTTTTTTTGTTGAACAAACTTTACATTTTGTAATATAGGAAGATTGATGGGAGTGATTTTGACCTGCTTTTAAACTTAACAAATAATTTCTAGTATGCACTTGTTAAAATAAAATATTGGATTTTTATTGAGCCAGAAACAGATATGACTGTATGATGTCAGCCTCCAATGATACTGTCCTTCCTTTTGGAGGGTGGCTACATTTGTTCCCGATGGTCCCTGTGTGTGTTGTAAAGTAGCCACCACTCCAAGTTCACTTCCATGATGGGCTACAGTCTTAATACAAATTAGTTAATTCAATGTAAAATTGTAGCCCAGCACTGGAACGAGCTTTGAGTGGTGGCTACTTTACAACACGCACAAGGACCATGGGGGACAAAAGTAGCCACCCTCCAGAAGGAAGGACAGTGTCAGCACCAATTCAGAGATGATTTGAGGATCTACAGCTGAGTGATGCACAAATAAGGTCCAGTATTTTTAATAGTTAAGGTACTTGAATGCATTTTTAGGATTTAACAACTCCTGAGTTTAATGTCACTTTAACACAAGCTTTGTCAACAGCCTTTGCTTACTGTAGATATGTGATTTTTGAATAGTGTTGTTAAATTGGTTTAGTAGGTCAGTAGACAAAGAGGAAAGATAGCAGGGATCCTACCTTTAGGTAGAAATATCACTTTATTTGGCCTTGATTTGGCAAATCTGGCATTTTTTGCTGATGTGCCTCACAGGATTTACAGGTTGTGGAGAGTTTCTGTGACCTGTTTTTAACTTTCAAAGTATTTTATTAATTTTCCAAAGTACAATAAAACAATAAAATAGCACATGATGCATGCAAGAACTTCTTATAATATAAGGCAGGCAGTCCATTCGGGGGCCGGAGCCGATGACAATTTTGCCTGCTTCATAGCTTGTTTAATTTCCAGTGCCGAGATGGGATGACAGGGGTGGAAGGTGAACCTCACTAAGAAATGATCTCAATGAATCAGATGAAACTGGAGTGTTATTCTGATAAAGTTTAGTGGAAAAACAAGTGAAATTCCTGAAGAGCAGTTGCTGGATGTAATGAGTATGCGCCAGATGTACATCGAATTTTAGGGAACGTGTAAACTCTAGGTTTAGGGGATAGTTTAGTGGCTAAGAGGGTACCAATTTTGTCTTTATGGACATAATATTTGTTATCTGACCATCGAAGACTTTTTTCCGCTTTAGTAGTTAGTAACAAGTTCAATTCTAATCTAGTTTTATCCAGGGGTTTCAAAAGATCTAATGACGGATTCTGCTTATGAGCCCGAGATAAACGTTGAAGTTCCGTGTCCAGTTCATTTATGCGTCTGGTTGCCCTCTTCTTTATTCTGGTAGCCAATTCCATTAGTCGGCCCCGAATTGTCGCCTTATGGGCCGCCCATACAATAGTAGGGGACATATCAGGTGTGGCATT